TGGATCATTTGATTTATGTCTTATTCAACATCTACACCTTGTGTTTCTTTTTATGACTAATATTTCTTAGTTGATAATCAAACCATCCCAAGTTTTAGATAAAACAACTTCCTTGAATTCGCCATTTAAAATTAATTTTTGAAAACCGGACTTCTGAAGAACTTTACAAGCGTTATCTATAGGAACAATATTTGGTACCTATATTATTATTACTTATTACAAGACGATAATAGTTCAATGTGTATACTTGCACCAAGTTCTATTTTTGTGTTGAATATTAAGGTTGCATAAACAGAACAACAGTGCTAATTGCCATTATTGGTAAATTTTGCTTTACTAACTCTTGGAGTTAAAGTATATATAAGTTTGATCTATAAAGTAAGTGGCACTTGTTAAATTACTAGAAATATGAATATTTTACCTATATTATCTTGTTGCACTGGATCCATATGCATTATTCATACAAATTTCAATAGAGGAGTTTTGATATTCTCTTCTTGATGTCATCGGTTCGAGTCAAAGGAAGAGTTTTGATATTTTGCCTTAGAACTTCTTATTATAGATAAGTGAGGAGTTCTGAGGTTCTCATCTTGTAACATTGGGGGTCAACTAAGTAGGGAGTTTTAAAGTTTTTATTGTATCCCCAAGTAGAGTAAGTATCACGACTTGAATACCTAGAGTGAATTACTCGTCAACATCTTGATATGGCTTACTTAGTGTTCATCCACTTTATAGAATCGGGTCACCCTTGTTATAGCAAGATATATTGGTTGCTACTCCACTCTTCTAAAGAAATCGGTTCCGTATTTTTAAAATACTCCTATTTCAAGGGAGGTGAATCTTTAGAAATATCCTACCCTCTAAATATGGATATTATATTTTATTATTAATCATTAAACTCATTAGATGTTAGCCGAACAATTTTTTGTACTAACATGTATAACATGGCATAGTAAGGATGGACCCAAGGCCTCAACGAGTAGAGATTGAAGTGTCATTTAGAGGCACGAGTAGGTTACATTTCGGAGAGTTCATAACTTTGGAAGATAACAACTTTGGTGGTTGATGTAACCCCCTACTTAAAATTAGTTCTACTAGAATTAAATAGTATCCTATAGAACTCTCATACCTAACTTTTGTCACGTGCTTTCATGTAAACATTGATAATTTTAGATAGATACTCTTATTTTGTGTGTTATGGTCGATTGACACTGAGGTTTAAATGTATTGCTATTTTCAAAATTTAGGAGCACACCACGCTCCCAATGACCAAACCAAACGGCTCGAGTTCCTAACGTATCCCAAGTCCCCATTGTCCCCAAAAATACTTTTAACTACCCAAACCTACGACACATCACCGGAAGTCTTGAAACGCCAACACGATTTACCTAAGAGACCCCAATTAGCAGCCTGAAGGCTACCCACACCTAAACCCCCAAACAATAGGAATTTAATTGGTTTCCACTTCACCTAAGTCAATTTATGGTTAAAGACTTAAAGTCCTA